TGTGTATATATATATATATATACACACACACGCACATACTGTCTCTCTCTCTCTCTCTCTCTCTCTCTATATATATATATATAGAGAGAGAGAGAGTCCTGGTGTGGCACTATGGCTTAATGCGCCAGACTGCAAAGCCATTTGAACTGAAAGGTTGGTGGTTCAAGCTTACTAGCCGCTCCTTGGAAACTCTATACAGGATTGCTATGGCTTGGAACCGACTCGATGGCACTTAACAACAAATATATATATATATATAGATAGATAGATAGATAGATACAGAGAAAGAGAGATGGGTATTGATTGGATAAATCAGTGATTTATCCAATCAAAAAACTAGCATTTTTTTTTTTTTTCTCAGAGATTCCTGATGGTGGTAAGGGAACACAGGGGAGAGCAGACACAAAGATCTCCCTATTTTTGAAGGTCCAGTAGCTTCTTAAGATTTTTGTTTGTTTCTTTGAAAGGAAGGATATTGCTACAAAGTAATTTTGAAACCTAGTGAACTGGATGACCAACTTTGAGATGCTCAAATTCTCTAATGGTGGGAACGCAGCACACTGAAGAGGCCAGGTCCTGATTGCAAACCCCAGAACTCTGAAGACAGTCCTGCTGTGGAGACATGGGAGGGAGCAGGATGGAGAAGAGGATGAAGAAACTTTAGACCCTGAGGGGAGGAGAAGGTGCAGTGTGGCTGAAGAGGAAGGGATGGCAAGTCAAGGTCCAGTCAGTGGGGACTGGTCACTCCCCATGTGGGCTTTCAGGTTCTCAGTAATCCAGACCTCAATATCCCTCTCCCATACCTGTGTCCATCCCCTTGGTCCCTGCTGTATACCACCCTCAGGCCCAGGCACTGGTGAGCTCAGTGAGTTTATTGACCCATCCCTTCATCAGATGTCTACATTGATGAGCATCAGGAAGTAAACTGGGTTGCCCTCTCTAAGGTAGGTCATGTAGAGGGGCAGGCCCAGAAGCCCATATCACAGCATCCTCCTGGTGCTCAGCGGGCAGCTCACATAAGGTACTTTGATTTCTTCTGCAGACTCTCTGTGACTGATGCTAGAATTGACTTGTCATCTTTGTCTGAAAGAGCAAAGCAAATCTTTGTTAATGTTGATGCTGGAAGGAGTCCTGGTGGCACAAATGGTTAAGTGCTTGGCTTCAAAACTTAAAGTGGGCAGTTTCAATCCACCTCGGCACTCTATAGGAGAAAAACCTAGCAATCTGCTTCTAAAATGATTACAGCTTAGAAAACCGTATGGGGCATTTCTCCTCAGTTACATGGGATCATTCTGAGTCTCAGTCAACTCACTGGCACCCAACAACAGCCATGCTGGGGGAGGGAAACCTCCAACTCCTGCACTTCTTGTTACTACACAGAAACCAGGAAGTGGACTCTGAATCCTTCCCTGGGAATGGGCCCTGATTCCCCAAGATCAGCTAAATGTATGGGGTCAAAAGCTGATGTTTACTCAGAGCTCTGGACATTTGCTAAATACCATACTAGACAATTCTTTAATCCATCCTCATATAAGCCACATATCATATGAAGTAGGTGAAATGAGAGACCCTGAGAGGGGATTTGCCCAGGTCACACAGCTGATCAGCGGTAGAGCCAAGGCATTTGACTAAGGGAGCCCTTGTTGGATTTCTCTAACTATGGAATGAAAGCTGGATAATCTCCCACACTGCCTTCGCTGGCCTAGTTCTGTTATACAATGTATCAGCCACTCTGGCAACAGCAGCATCTCAGTGCCAGTCATTTAGCTGAAGACTGGAGACGGAGCAATAGGACATGGTCCTTAGCCAAGGAAAAGCATCTATAACAGGATGAACCAAGGTCTGTAACCATGGAGACCACAGTGAAGTATAGTGTAAATTCAGGAAGGATGCACTCAAGCTAGCATGTGGGGGTTGTGCACGTTGTGTTAGGTGCATTGGTGGCAGAGGCTGAGGTTGGAGAGATGGGGGAGCCTTGTTGGTTTGATTTTATCCTGCGCATCCTGGGAGAGCTAGGGCAGAATTTAAGCAAGGGGGAACAAGCTTTGTATTTAGAATGCTGACTGCTAGCAGTGAAGACAATAGTGTAGGAAGCGAGAAATTGTTTCCCTTAGGTGAACACACAGGAGCAGTGAAGAGTGGATGTGTCTGCCTAGTTTCCCTTGGCATCTCCAGGTGTGCTTCCTATCTGCCCTATTCTTTTTCAAATTTGGTTGCATATCAAGTCATCTTACAAAATATTGTAAATACATAAACACTGGCCTGATCACCCATATATATATTTTAAGACAAGTATAGGAGCCCTAGTGGCACACTGTCTAAGCACTTGGCTGCTATCAGAAACAGTGGCTGGAACCCACCCAGTGTTCTTTGGGAGAAAGACCTGGCAATCTGCCCCCATAAAAACGATCTTCTAGAAAATTCTCT